CCATTTGTACTTCTGCATCTGAGAACTATCCATTTCAGATGCCTGTTTTGTTTTTTTGTTTTTTTGGGGTTTTTTTTGGTTTTTCTCCGGTACCGGGAACCGAACTCACGACCTTGCGCTTGCCGGGCAGGCGCTTTTGCCGCTGAGCTAAATCCCCAGCCCTGGATGCCTGTTTTTTGATCAGGGCTTGGGGGCGGGCATCTAATTTTTTTGACTTCTGTATGCATTCTAGCTAGTAGTCCATTGTCTGAGCAGTAGCTGACAAAATTTTTTTCCCATTCTGTAGATTGTTGTTGATGGTGTCTTTTGCTGTGCAGGAGCTTTTTTATTTCGAGGTGATCTTCATTTGTTGATTCTTGGTATTATTTCTTGTGCAGCCAGTTTTGTTGAAAAATCTTTGACTATACCTATGTCTTCAAGTATTTTATCTGTTTTGTCTTCCACTAGATTGTTCCTGTTCTAATGTTTAGATCTTTGACCCATTTTGATTTTAGTTTAATACATGGTGAGAGATTTGGGTCTAGTTATAATCTTCAGCATGTGGACAGCCAGCGTTTTCCGAGCACCATTTGCTAAAGAGACTTTCCTCCAGCAAAAGGTTTTGAGCCCATTGTTAATGATCACATGCCTGAGTGTTCCTGAAGTTGTTTCTGTATCTTCTATTCTGTTCCACTGATCCATAAGATTGGTTTTTTGCCAGTCTCCTGTTTTTATCATAGTAGCTTTGTAGTTTAACCTGAAGTCTGGGATCATGATGCCCCTTGCCTTGCGCTTGTTTACCAGAAAAAGGACTATTTAAGAGAAATCTTTCAGGCATGATGACTTTGTTTATCTCATATTGGACTACACATCTATCCTACATGTTTTTCTCATTAGCATCTTCTCCACAATGTGTTGTCTTTTTTATTTCTAGCTAAGGACATCAATCTGTTTGTATTGTGACTAGTTCTTTGGTAGACAGAGATCAATACATAACACTTTGTGTTGTCATTATCATGGGGTGAAACCTTTAAGTGTCAGTCATACGCTCTCATGCTTTCAACTTTGTTTACAAAATGATTGTTCTAACAGGAATATAGTCAGCCATCCTTAGCAAAAATGATAAAATAATTTTTCTTTCTGATGGGTTTTCTCTTGATATCTGTTCTATAAGCCTGAGTCCCAGAAGAGCCAGGGAAGGCTTAGGAAGAGCATGGAACATCTCATGTCAGAAAGTAAAGAATTACTAAAACAATAAAATAAAGACCTTGGAGCCAGCCTGAAGTTCTGGCCAAATCTACTAAGATGGAAAATGCAGTGCTCGCTTCGGCAGCACATACACTAAAATTGGAACAATACAGAAAAGATTAGCATGGCCCCTGCACAAAGGATGACAAATTCATTCCTGGAAACAAGCATTACCCTGATACCAAAACCAGAGAAGGACCAAACTAAGAAAGAGAACTATGGGCCAATCTCCCTAATGAACATAGACGCAAAAATTCTCAAGATACTGGCAAACAAAATGCAGCAAATCATCAAGGATATTATACAGATTATATAGATTATGGGCCCGGGGGGATGTAGCTCAGCAGCACAATACCTGCCTGACAAGTAGCAAGGTCCTGATTCAATTCCCAGTACCAAAAAAAAAAAAAAAGATTATACACCTTGATCAAGTGGGATTCATCCTAGGGATGCAGAGATGGTTCAACATATGTAATTCAATAAATGTAATACACCATATTAATAGCCAAGGACAAAAATCATATGGTCATCTGAATAGATGGAGAAAAAGCTTTTGACAAAGTCCAGCACCTGTTGGTGTTAAAAAACCCTACAGGAAATTGGAATAGATGGTCTTTATCTCAATCTGATAAAAGCTATCTATGACAAAGCCACGGCTAACATTATACTAAATGAACAAAAACTGAAAGCTTTCACTTTAAACTCAGGAACAGTACGAGGATGTCCACTGTCTCCACTCTTGTTCAACAGAATCCTGAAAACTTTAGCTAGAGCAATTAGGCAAGAGAAAGAAATAAAAGGAATAACGATTGGAAAGAAAGAAGTTAAATTATCAATATTTGCATATGACACAATACTCTACATAGAAGACCTCAAAAGCTCTACCAAAAAACTGCTAGATTTAATAAGCAAATTCAGTAAGTAAATAATAAGCAAATGCAGCTGGATACAAAGTCAGCACTTAGAAATTAGTAGCCTTCCTGTACACAAATAACAAACTCATTGAGAGAAAAGTTAGGGAAACAGCACCTTTCACAATAGCATCCAAAAAAATGAAATATCTAGGAGTCAGTCTAATGAAGGATGTAATGTAGACCTTGACATTGAAAACTACAGTACTCTGAAAAAGGAGATTGAAGAGAATATCAGAAAATGGAAAGATATCCCTTGCTCTTGGGTAGGAAGAGCCAATACAGTCAAAATGGCCATACTTCCAAAACTGTTACACAGATTTAACGCAGTTCCAATCAAAATTCCCACTGCATATCTCACAGAATTAGAGAAAACAATCCTAAAGTTCATTTGGAACCAAAAGAGACCTAGAATAGCAAAAGC